ACTTAGCTTCAAATAAAGTAGAAAAGTGCATCATTAAAACTTTATCTCTTTCCCCTAAGAATGTTGCTGCACTCAGCAATATTATGCTCAGTCTGTTTGGCTAGGTCCATTGATTGCAAGTGATACCGTCTCCTCTTGCAAGTGGGGAAGACGATCATAAAACAAGTGGCCTTACTCAAGGGCATACAGTCATCATCAAAATTAGAACTGAAGCCATCACCAAAACTTAGAACAACTGTAAGCTGTCTTCTAGAATAGCTGTCTGACAGCAATTATGCTCAGAGCCTGCTCTGTCCTGAGCTAGACCCTAGTCTTTTTTTTTTTTATCATTCTTCATTTTTGTACAATATATGCTTTCTCATCTCACTTATAGTCCTCATGAAATTCCCACCACCAATTCACCTGTGTACCATCACCATAGTCCTTTGTGCTCTTCTCACCCGTTTTGATCCTACTCCATCTTCCCCCTGCAGAATTAGACCCTAGTCTTGATTCCAATTACCATTGTCATAGAATGATGGCATTTGAAAAAAAAAAAAAAAAAGAAGAGACCTTCAATTCACTCAATTCAACTCCTCACTTTAATGCCAGCAAGGTGAAAGTCCTTGCCTAAGACAGTCACTCATCGTTGGTGGAGTCAGAACTTAAATCCAGGTCTCCAGACTACCCAGATGAAAAGTCTTTCCACCATGTTACTCAAAAATATCAAAGTCTGTGCTGAAGCCTGAAGAGAGCTGAGCTCTCCCCATTCACCCCAGTCAGTGGGGGTGGGTGAACTAAAGTCTTTGAACTTCACTCTGAGAGAAAATACAGTAGCTCAATGGTGAGCGAAGCTTATCTAGGCCAGAGCGTTATAAGGGCTCAGTCATGAATACATTTATTGATCCTGGCTGTTCCAGAAAATTGGCAATTGAGTCAGTGCTTAATAAATATTAAAATGATTTAATTAACTTATTCCTTTCAACTCTACCTGAACATGTTTATCTGTTTTGTTTTGCTTTTTGTTTTGTTTCTGGGGATTGATGGAAGCAATTCTCTTCATATGCATCTTGAGGATGAACAGGGACAGATCTCTGAAAAGAAGGGGCCTCTGGACTAGAGATACAGCAAGTGCTAGGCCAGCAGGTGATGTAGAGGTGGTAGCGGCAACCCCTGGTAAAATCACAGAGAACCTTAACTTTGGTTTAAGAATTTAAACTTGAGAGTAGAATATTAGGAGTTCTGAGCTGGCCTGTGACACAAATTGAAGAGGGGTTTTCCAAGGAGTCAGTAGGTGGCATGTATGAGAGGTGGGTGGGGAGAATTTGAGCTGGAGAGACCAGAGGGGAGACTGTATGGGCCCTAACCCAGTCACTACAGCCTCCAGGACCTGGTCCTTCTGTGAGACACAAGGACTACTGCTCCACCCTCAAAACTTTAGACCCTCCTCTCACTTCCCAAAGACCACCTCTCTCACTAGGGAGTCAATGTCTCTAAGAGACTGTGCCCTTTCCACCTGCAGCAGCCTCCTGTTCCTGAACCTGCAGCCAAACTCCATGAAGGGCTTACTCTCTAGGCCTCTGACTACATCGCTACACTGACTTGGCAGAGCTGAGCTGACATGGGGCTGGGGGAGCAACGCGCCCTGGGCACAGAGTAGAGAGCCTGAAAGGGCTGCAAGGAAGCTGTAACACTCACCCCCAGTTTCAGGACCCTGGAACACACAGATAGGAGGGGGTCAAGGTGAGACTGTGGGTCAGAAATGGAAAACCCCAACAGTGAGGTACTTACTGTGGGTTTTCTTTCCCCAGGTTGAACTTGTCACATGGTGGTTCTCTTGAAAGTGGACAGCAGGTTCCACGCTGCTGTTCCAATGACTCGACCTTCTCTTTGCTCATTCATGGCAAAAAATCTCGGACCCTGACTTCCCCCTTTCCCTTTCATCCACAGGGTTCCCCTGACAGATGCCACCAGCCTGTTCTCCACCCTCCTGCTGATTTGGTGGTTTCCCGTGTTCTGACATTATAAACAGCGGCATCTGTCACCTCTCAGTTCCACAGCCTTGTTAATGAGTTAGATTCAGCTTTTCTAAATCCTTTTGGCTCTCCCTCTGAAACATTTATCAGATCTTACCCTTTCGTTTTTTTGCCTTGTTTCAGACCCCCGCATCAGGCTTAACCAGAGTGCAGTTGCTTGGCCAGTTGCTAACCCATTTCCGTACGCCCATCCATCTGATTTGGAGATCTCCCTCAAATGTCACTTTAATCACATTACTAAGCCTTCAAGCTACATTTGCTCCTTCTAATTTGCTTCCTCTCAAGTTAAAGCTCTTACTAATAGGATGGGTGTGTTGGAAGGAACATCACTGATACTTCAGATGTGATTTTATATATAACAAACCTAAGATTCACAGAGATTAAGATATTTCATAGTTACCTTAGGCTCTCAGGCACCTTGTTCTTTCCAAATTGCTCTTTTCCAATTTATAATTCAAACAAAACCCTCCCCTCTTCTGTCACATGCATACATCCCTTCTGTCCACAACATGGTATACTATTTTTTTAAAATTATACTTTTATTAAGGTAACATTGGTTTACAACACTGTATATGCTTCAGAAATATAGGATCCCACCTTTTCTGCTCTGTGTTACACCACACCCACCACCAAAGTGCCCTAGTCCTTCACCATAGTCTACTGAGGCCCCTCCCCGCTTTGCTGCTCAGTCTCTCCCTCTCCCCTCCAGGAACGTCCATTTTAGTCAGGTTTCTAGGGTCTGTTTTTGGTCTGGTTGTCTGATTCATTCTGTTTCTATATTCCACATATGAGTGAAACCATATGGCATTTGTCCTTCTTTTAACTTATTTTTTTAGCATAACCCCCTCTAGTTCCATTCATATTTTCATAAATGGCAAAAGTTCATTACTCTTTATAGCTGAGTAATATTCCTTTGTGTATATATACATCTTGTATGACTCACTTGCCCTTGGGCACTCAGGGGGCTCCCATAACTTGGCTATTGTAAATAGCGCTGCAGTGAACATAGGGCAAGCACATATCCAGTTGAATTAGTGCTCCTGCTTTCTTCAGCTAGATACCCAGAAGTGGTATTGCTGGACCATATGGTGTATATATTTTTAATATTTTGAGAAGCCTCCATACAACACACTATAAATGCTCATTTCATCTTCTAAAAGCTCTCATGATGAGCCTGCTTGACAACACAAATTATTCCAGGAATTTGGTTTTGGCTAACTACAATAGATCAGGACTAGGGGTCTCTCACAGGCTCAGGCAGCCCACCAGGACCACTGTGCCACTGAAGACCTCCTTACTCCTGCCTTTGCAATGGAGACACCTGATTATTGGCTGTGAGTGAAACACTGTTAAAATGCTTTCTTGATCACCAGCCATTGTGGCATAAGTTCAATCCCCGGCCAGGGAGCTAATCCACATGGCGCAGCAGACCTCTCCTGTCCCGTCCGCTGCTCTCTTCAGCAGTGTATTTTTGTAGATCAGCTTGTTCTGCTCCCCACTGTCTCTGGTGAATCCTCTCACCCCCTGCACCTCTGGCCTACACCCCAGTTCTTGTATGCATAAATAAAATGCTTTCTTGTGTATACCTGTTTATCTACACACATACATATAACAAACCCATATATACACACATGCACATATAGAGTGCATATAATGAATTATTTATATTTTGCATTTTAATGTAAAAGCATTGAAATTCTTACACCATGCATTAGAAATTCACTATTCATTTTCTTCTTGATAAGTTCATGTCACCCAGCATACCTGTACATATAGCACTTTCCTAATTTATTCCCCCTATGCTTCGAAGCCCTTTCTCCTTCCTTTTTCTATCATTCTCTCCTATCCTTTACCACTGATAGAAATGTAGCTCAACACCCCTATTACTTTCATTTCTCCCTCAGTCCCCTTCTTGGAAAATCCTGCTTAATTTCTGGAGAGCTTTAATCAATGATTTGGTGAAGTGACAAGACCAGATGTGGCAGAATTCAGCTGGAGGCAGATGAAAAGAGGAAGGGGCTTTCAGCCAGGGTGAGGAGGACCTAGGAGCACTGTGTGACAAAGGACTTCTCCACAGAGGGGGTAGGCATGGGCCTTAAATAAAGAGTCCAATTTGGGGAAAGTATCTAGGAATACCGTTAACTATTCTTACTATTCGGGTACTATTAGGACAATTGCAAATTTGCCACACATCACTTATTTTGTGCATGTTGAAAGAACACCAAGAGGGAAGCAAAGCAGTAAGCATATTTTTGTAAAGACTGGAGGAGAATAAAAGGTGACTCATTTTCCAGACAGCCTGAGGTTTGGGAGAGACCGTCCATTCACATTTGTTTAGAGGGGTTCTGGACCTGTGTAATTTTACCTGTAGCTTATTTTCCTGACAGCTGTGGCAACTATTTTAATTTTGATATTCAGCTGTTCCTTTGCCAGTCTTGACACAACATTTTAGGCATGCTCTGAAGCATGACTCATGAAACTCTCCAAAAGCCAAAGCACTTCAGCATTCTATTCAATTAGAACTCTGCTTCCTGATCTACAGGATATTCTCAGACCAAGATGCAAGATTAAGACCACGGGCGATTTGAGAAGGTAGGAATTCCAGCCAAGACATTTGACAAAAAACACTAGAGACCACATGAGACGTCTAAGGGACAGAGGGAAGTAGATTAAAAACATAACTGCCAAAATTTTATATAATCTAAAAGGGCCTATTGATGAGGTAGCAACATTCCTCCCAGCGCCAAGCGTGACTAAGGTGTCTGCGGTGTCTCCTGGTTGACTACAGAGCTGAAACCTCAGGGAGACAAAAATGGGAGAAAGTGGGTGAGGGAACTCCACAGACATCTTGAAGATGAAATATTAACTTACCTTTAAGATTTAGGTGCTAAGAGCGATGATTTGATTTGAGGAAAATCTTTTTTATTATCAATCTATTGATTGATTACTATTAAAGTGCATTCCTTGCAGACTCAAATATTTGCACTAAATAATTGTGATTTTATTAATTTTTTTTCCCACAAAATACAAAGCTTTGCACCACATTCTAGTAGTGTTGTAACACAGGAAAATCCCAAGGTTTTCAGTAGGGGGGAGGGTAATTTACATACATTGATTTTATACATGTTCTTAAAATTAATATTAAATGATATTATCATGACAAAATATGCCAACCTTGTATAACATGCATATTATTGCTTGGTACTTGCATATACTTTGAAATGGCACACATACAAAGTATACAAACATTTCAAAAATTTAAGGGAAATATATAGAGAGAGTTATTAATCCTTCCAAATAAAGCACAACCTGAAACCAAAATAAATAATACTAAATTGCTACTTTAATTGCTAATAAAATCTAAGTAACACTGATTTATAAATTACCTAGTCATACATTTTATAAATAAAAGTTCTTCAGCTTTATGGAAATAAATTAAATGTGTTCTCAAAATGTTTAATATATTCTGAAAGACTTTCAAAAATCTTTGACAAAAATTAATGCTATATGTTCTCAGGGAGAAAAATGTATAGCTATAGCTATAGCATTTACTGCAGTTTTCAAGTAACTTTTTCAAATTAAATTCATGTCTAAAAGTCACTATTATTACAAATTCTTACTAGTAATTGCTAAAAAAACCCCTCATAATTCATTCTAGATACAATTTAGTAACAGTATTATCTATGCAAAAACTCCTTAACTAAAAAAGTAGACACGATCAAACTAGAGGCAAACCAAGCAAGAAAATATATAGCATATTTTATTTACAGTTGTTTTTAGACTTCATTAATGAATAAGTAGCAAATACTTCAACAAATGCACACTTAACTACAAAGAACTGCATAAAGATAGAAGAAAAAAAATACAGATGATTAACAAGTTTTCAGCCAGAGGTATCATATTTACTTATCTTTGTGATTTAGATATATTCCTCATTGTTTTTGGTCTTAAATAGAGGGCCTGAAATGAAAGGTGGGGGAATCAATGTAAACGTCTTCAATGCAAACAACCAACCTTTAGCAACTGCTTTCGGTTCTCTGCTACCCAAAGGATCTTCCAATAAAGGTACTATTTACCATAAAAGCCAGGAGAGGCAGTTTGAGGGGTCGCCTAGACAGGGATAGGGCTCAAGTCCTTGGGTGTTTGTTTACTTTGGAAAAACCCTGAGTGATCCATTCGCTGGTACGTTTGCTTTCAAAAGAAATATGACCATAACAGAGTTTGTTCAATTAAAGGGTAAGATTCAATAACACGGCCACACACCAACGCCCCTTCTTAGAACATCTTTCTAACACAGAGCTAGTCAGTTCCTCCTCCTTCCTGTCATGGGCCTTAGGGAAGAACATTTAGATAACTTACATGCCTCCCATGAATCCTCAGCTGAAACATGTTGCCAAGCACTTATTGTTAAACCAGTTTAAGAGATTATAGATGCTTCTCAACCAAGCCATAACATTAGCTTTGCCTTAGGTTGTAAGCAAGTCTTGTTAATACTAACCGGCTTTGACATTACAGCCTCTTAGCAGATTATGGTTTGTGTAATAGCTACTTAAACTTATCACGTTGCATTTTTCAGTGAACAAACATATTTCTAAACTTGGCATAATAAGACTGGAAGCTTACAGGGGAGGAGAGTCCTCAAAAGTTGACCAAGAAAAGTGTTGGTAGAAGGGAGAGAGGGCCAGTGAAGTCTTTAGGGTATTAGGCAGAAGAGATAGGAGGGAAGAAGGATTCGGAGAAAACTTCAGGGAGGAGCATCATGGCTTTTAAGGGAAAAGCAGCTGCGGTGCCTCCTCCAGCTCCAGGTCCTGCTGGCTGTTCATTGCTCTCACACTGTCATGTGTTTCACATCAGAACTCACTTTCAGTAGCTTCAGTGTGCCTCAGCCAAGCTGCTCAAGGTTAAGGCTGGAAGGTGAACTTGTGCCCAGGCGTTGGAACACAGGAAGGGCCTGGATCTCACTATTGTGCTGGTTTGTCTCTGTTGATAAATACTGACAATTTCTGATAAAGGTACATGGTTTTGCTTCTCACGGAATCCAAAACACATACATAGTCTTCTACGAAGTGTAATGTACGGTTCAACAATTCCACGGACCTCTCAATTCCACCCAATAGACTAAATCACTTAGAGCCTATTTGAATGAATATTAATACACTTGGAGTTAAGAGTAACCTGATGGGGGAATTCAAATATTACATCAATTAAAACTAAATAAATGAACTTAAAATAGAGAGTAACCTAGAAACCGAAGTATGTTCAAATATTTATTTTAAAAGTATCTCTTGGACCATGTTTTTCTCACAAGTGTGAAAGAGAACATGAAATATTACAACACACTTTGCCCTACTTAACTCCATGAAAAGAATGTTTCTCAGTGTGTAACAAATGGTGTAACCGGCAGTAAAGCTGCCTCTTTACACCAGTGAGAAACCATACTCCAGTGCCCAACTCACTGCAAAGACAGTGTATAATGTTAAGACTGACACTTTAGCAAAAATTTGATTTCAGTCAAATAGATTATTAAAAATTTAGAAAATAGTTTGATTCAAATGCCTATACACAAGGCAGTTTCTAAAGCTAGATCTTTACAACAGTACAGGGTCATCCATCATGTATCAGTCACCCTTAGGCATGGCAAAAATATGGTTGTTTCTTTTAACAAAGGGCTAGTACATAAAATTAAAATAAAAACTTAATTTCAACTTTCTGTAAATTCTCTTTCATAATTTATGCAAGAGTTAATTTCCTTGCACACATATAACTCCAATTTGAGTTTTAAATAAATAAAAACAAGACTCATAAGGCTCATTAAAAAGATTTTAAACACAAGAATGCAAACTCTATAAACTCAAGTTCATCATTTTTTTAATCTCCCAAATAAAATATCTAATGCAGAATCTATGATCATGCATGCTATTTAATTTTCATTCATTTTCAAAATTTTGTAAGAATCATTATTTTCTATTTCATGTTCAAAATGCATCTTTATGGTTATAGGTTGTCACTAATCTTTTTCTACAAAAATATAATTACTTAAAAATTTGTACCAATTTGCTTTTATTTTCTATAAATATGTTAACAGAGTTGTTAAATATTAGAATGCCTAATAGAAATAAATGAATCCATGTAGTCAAAATACTTAATATGTAAAATGTCTAGCAAAAAGTTTATCATTTAACAAATGAAAAGTTCATTGTTTAATAAATGATATGTTGTCTTCAACTACTTGTATCTTAGGATGGTAGGTACAAACAGCAAAGTATAGCTTCCAGAAGGGTCTGACTAAACAAGCCTAGCAGTTTGTAGGGCCTTTTCTATTTCGTGTCTGTGGAATGAGGACATATGTAGAATCTACATTTGAATATTGAATCTGGAGGTTGGCTGGCTTCATGTGGCCAGCCCAAAGTAAGGACTGTTGACAAAGGATAAAAAACAAATGTTAGTTCAAAACATTGATATTTTAAATACACTTATTTAATGAGCAGCCACACTAAAGAAAAATACTGTCCATGAAAATAAAAACTCTAAGCATGACATAGCAAATATAAAAACTGAAATTGCTATGCAGACACTCAATAATACAGTTTTATGTTGTCTTCATTTTGATGGTGGTTTTAAAATCTGTGTTCAGAAACTATAGAAATATCCAAAGAGTCAAAAATATTTCAAATTTTGTTTGTCTCCAGGAATGGATTTCCAAAATAGTTTTCTAATATAAATGTTTTACTTTTAAAAATCCAGTTTTCTGGCAAAAGAGAGAGAAAAGAACGAGATAAAACCACATATTCCCTGCCCCCTCTAAACAACCAATAGATATTAAAGTGCCTCTGATGTGGAAGGCACTAAATTTAATAACAAATTATTGATGTAATATTAGTAGCTTTAAAAACAAATATCCATCTTTTACATTACTTTGTCTTTCAAACATAAATGTACCTAGTCTAAGCCAACAATCGTATCATTTAGTTACTAACCTTTTTTAAAATGTAAAATGTATTAGGTTCTGTCAGCATTAGGCCACCAAATCAAACAAATGAAAGTCTTAATAAAGCCAACCTCCCTTCATCAGCACAACACAAAGAATGTGAATGAAATATTCTCTTTCAAACTGAGAAACCTAATGGATTAGATCTTTTGATTTGGCTTGATTAAATTCAAGTATTCACCCTTGGTTAAATTAAACTTTTTTTCTTAGGTAAGAACAATCATTAAAGTCAAATATCTGAGAAAAATAAATATAGGCAACAACAGTTAACTACATAACATTTAGGCACATAGGTTGCAAGAACCAAATCAAAAGCAAACACATCTACTCACACAAACAAAAACAAAAAAAACCAGTCTTGAGTCATTTATGATCATATAAGACAATACTGATAATCAGAATACTTGGATTAAATGATAAATTTTTTCTTTAAGAAAAATAGAAATTCAAAGCACTCAAAATGCTCATTAAGCAGGGTGCAAACTGTGAATTAAACACAAATACTGATTTTTCTGTAGTTTTGTTTCATCAAGAAGAGGCCTACCTTAGAAGCATGATAAACACATATTGCTAAGACTTTGGTAGTGATGATGCTGGGTTCCGAACTCTAGGAAGATTTTGCAAATAGAAATGATATTTTTTTTAAATCATTCCTCCACTTAGCCTAAATAGTCATCTATAACATGCATTTTTAGAGGACCTCTTAGGAAGGTCTATAAGATCTGCCTTAAACCTTACTATAAAATAAAAAGCAATCTTTTCATAAAATGCTAAAAATCAAAATAATAAAGTGACATATGAAAAATCTAAAAGTGCAGGAAGTATTTCCCGTGACCAAAGTAACTAAAATTTCCCAAAGTAAAATACTGTATCATTAATAGATAGCATATCTGAAATGAAAAATACATCGCTTCTAATAGCCTAAAAAAATTCCAACAATTTAGAAAATAAACTCTACTCAAGTATTGACAGCCATAGTAAGAAATGAGTATGGATCAATAAAATGTTGACAGCTATTTCTAGATGTAAAAGCATCTTCCATTCTTTTAGCAAAATTGGTGACATAAAAGTAAGTGCACCAAATTAGCATGGCCATCTTGTCACAGAGAAAAATACCAATGCAGATTAACAGATTCCTGAAAAGATTCACCACTATATTTATAATTTTTTATTTAAATCTTTAAGAGTTTTTCATGCTTATAATGCAGAAGGAAATCAGAAATCTTGGGATAAAAACTAACTTTACTTTCTCTTTTCTAAAGGTTAAAAAAAGATACCAAAGTACTGGGTAACAAGTATAATTAATAAAGAAGCACAAGAACATGCCAAGAATTCATCATATCAGCAGATACAATGCAGGTAGTAATGAAGTATGTGAATCAACAGCCCCACTGTTAGTCAAGCTTTCCATTCTGAAGACGATTTTTGGCATTCTCTTGTCTGATGAGAGAGATGACTTTGATGCACCCCTTTGAAATTTTGATCATCCACATGACATTCATCACATCCAAAACAAAACAAGTGGTGACCCAGGAATACTGGATTAATGTTCCAAGCCTTAAGTACGGTTCTGTTCCAAACACATTATAGAGGAGGATATAGGTCGGCGGTATGGCAGCAATCCGCACCATGAAGAACACCACGGTCATGAGGATCCCATTGATGACGTTAGCCTTGGCAAACTTAGGATACCCTAGAACTTCAAAGAACCACCTGGACAAAAATCAAAGAAAGATCGCATCAACTACACATCTTTGAGGCTTAGCCATTTTAATTTTAGGTTTTAGTCTTTAAAATTCAGTGAACATCCCTCTAAAATTTATATGGTGAGGTAAAGGGCCTTGAATAGCCAAGTATTACTAAAACAGAACAAAGCTGGTGGGCTCACACCATCCAATTTCAAGAGTTACTATAAAGGTACAGCAATCACCATAGCATGCCAATTTTGAAAGAACAAATCAATCAATGGAACAAAACAGAGCCCAGAAATAGACCTACACATTTACACTCAACTAATTTTTGGTACAAAGGTAATTCAATGGAAAAAGGATAGTCTTCTCAAAAAAGATGTGAGGCAGTCTCTGCCTCACATCTAACACAAAATTTAACTCAAAATGGATCACAGACTTAAATGAAAATGCAAAACTAGAAATTTCTAGAAACTTCTAGAAGAAAATGGGAAAAACATACAAGCTCTTGGGTTTAGTGACAGAATTTTAGATATAACAACAAACATATGATCCACAGAAGAAAATAATGCTAAGTTGGGCTTCACTAAAATTAAAAACTTTCTCTGTGAAGGGCACTGTTAAGAGTATTTAAAAAAAAAAAACACCAGTGTATGGGTGTTTTTGGTTTTTTTTATTCTCTTAACAGTGCCTTTCACAGACCTCAGCCAGGTGACAAGGTGAATATCAACAATGGTAAGTCATGTTTATAGCATGTAGTGATGAGAATGCTTCTTCTGTGGTCTTCCTCCACAAACCCCAAACATAATTCAAATCTAATCATGAGGAAAAGATAAGACAAACCCAAATTGAGAAATATTCTATAAAACAGCTGAACAGGACTCCTCAAAACTGACAAGATTATCAAAAAATAATGAAAGTCTGAGAAACTGTCACAACCAAGAGGAGTTTAAGGAGAAATGACAGCAAAATGTAATGTATTCTGGTGTCAACAGAAAAATATCCTTAGGTAAAAACTAAGGAAATTTGAATAATTATTAAGACAGGTACAAAAGAAAAGCCAGCCAATTGTGTGTATTTGGTACCCTCTGCCAACCCTACAAAGAAATCTGTCTTTGGTCATTTAGCATTTCTTCCTCCCCCTTCTAAAGGAATCTAGTTTTCTGGGAGTTGACTGTGCAGCATGGTTCCCACTACAATCAGTGAGAAAAGAGGATTTCTCTAGTTGAGCTCACATTTGGAAAGAGGAGAAAGAGCTACTTGCAGGTAGAGAAAAAAAAGTGAGAAAAGAGGATATAAGCAAAGAATCAGTCCCCATGTGGAATTGGTTGGATGAGTTTTAGGATCAAGAGTCAGATGCTGTAGGGAACCTTGGGAAAGCTGTGGGGTCCAGGAGGTACTGTGAGTTCAAGAGGAATGAAGAGAATTTTAAGAAGCATTGCTGTGAGTAACAAGCTGCATCTTTGTTGAAGTCCTTGGAAACATGCCAATAAGGAAGGATTTGGCTGCTGTACTGTTTCTGGGATTCTACACGGAGACCGGGCCCCGAGTTGACCCCAGTTATATCTTGGCTGCAAATATAATTCTCTATATTTAATAAACTACTGTATTTAATAACAACTGTATTTAATAAATATTAATTCTGAATTTTAGGAGTTTAGGAACCTAGTTTGAGAAACACTGTCCTTCATCCCAGTATTATTTTGGTTCCGCTCTAACTTCTAACTACCTCTTCTAACAATCCATTCAGATGCTCTGTTTGTCCTTTTATCCAGTGTCTCTACCAAACTCATCACCGTCCTTCTTAGTCTTCCTAACCCTCTACCTTCTTTCAATGGGCCATTCCTCCAGGTTCAGAGCAAGAGTGATCTTAAATTGTCCCTTTCTCTATGTCTAATTTCTTACTCATTGCCAGTTTTACTTCTTCTTCCCTCAAAATCTGTTTTGTCATCTCTCTATCCCTATAGCATAATTTGGACTTTCACTTATTTTCTGGACTAATGAAACTACACCATTCATTCACACAACTAAGAGCTGAATGCTACCCACTAACACAACCTTTACCTCGAGCCTTAAAATCTATACTACAAATACCCAAACTAGAATTATTCTGGGCTATTTTCAGTACATCTTTTCTTCACTGTAATATCTTCTCACTGTCTCCGGGGTGACATTCAACAAGCTCCCTGGCATCTACACCCTCTGTGCATGTCCACCCTCCTCCGAAGACATACTCTCTGGTCCTACAAGTGTTATGAAGTTTCTTTCACACAGTGTGTTTATGCCATTTTTCAAAAACTTATCTTTATTCCTTTCCCTTAAATGGAGGGTATCCCATTCCCTTCAACCTATTAAAAAAAAATCTAAACATTTAAAGTATGTACCCCATCTTTTTGGTGAAATTCTGCATGACAAGTACTCGTCAATAGTGGCCTCAAAATGCAGTCAATGGATGCCTGAGACTTTGGGGATGTCTGCAAGGGAAAACTATTGTTTGCAATAATATTCTAATACAAGAATATTATCTGTCTTTTTTATTGTACTGATTTTAAACTGATGGTGCAAAGCACTGGTGGATAAAACTTGATGCTTTAGTACAAAGCATGGCAATGGCACAAAATGGTAGTAGGAAACATTGTTTTCTTTACCACCACATATTTACAGCCTTTTATGTGCATGTCTTTTTAATGTTCTATATGCTGAAATGGGGAGCACACATCAAGCAGGTCTGCTGCAAAGTACAGTTATTGTCAGGAGGAAAAACCCTTGGATGATGATTTAACTGTGAGCTCAGCTCCCCAGTTTTTCCATGGAACACCATTTTTACTTGAAAGGATGACTGACAAACTACAGTTATTTAGACCTGGGTATTTGGCAGACATTTTCTCAAAAATGAACATGATGAATTTGTCACATCAAGGAAAGAAACTTAACAGTTTGTTGCCAATAATGAAATTTGCATTTACAAACAGAAACTAGGATTGGGCCTCCCTGGTGGCGCAAGGGGTTAAGCACAGCACTGTGAAGCAATCCGCAGCCTCTGCAGCACAAGTTCGATCCCCGGCAGGCTAAGGAGTTGCCCACATGGTGTAGCAGACCTCTCCTGTCTCACCCTCTGCTCTCTTCAGCAGTGTGTTTTTTCAGTCAGTCTGCCTGTTCTGCTCCCCACTCTGTCTCTAGTGAATCCTATCACACACACCCCACCTCTGGCCTGTACCCCAGCTCTTGTGTGCATAATAAATAAATCTTTAAAAAAAAAACTAGGATTTTGGAAAACGTGTATATGCTACCGTCAGTTTGACAGCCTCCAAGTACTTCACAATTTTTCAAATGAAATCAATGGTGATATTAACTAATGTGGGTTTTTAAAATATTATTTAACAAATTCATCACCATTTGGAAAACAATATTTTCCAGATGACCAAGGCATCATGATAAAAAATTATGCAAGGATGGATAGAAGATTCAAGTGCAAGAGAGTCCAATGAATTTGAATAAAACAGTGAACAAAATGTTTACTGATAAGGTTTCAGAGTCTACATTTAAGAAATTTTAGGAAACCAACTCTTGGTATATTTTGGTATAATATTAAAGAAGAATACCCACAATTATTCAAAAGACTAGTAAAATACTCTTCCCTTTCCCAACTACATTATTAACTCTGAGAGGTGAGGTTTTTTTCATATTCTTCAACCAAAACATTTCACAATAGACTGAAAACAGAAGTGGACTTGAGCATACAGTTGGATCCTATCAAGATACACACTGGAGAGTCACACAAATGTACAACACTGTTCCCAATAAAATTAGATTCGTTTTCACAGTGCAATTATTTTTCACCAAAAAAACTCATTATGGGGCCTCCCTGGTGGCCTAGGGGTTAAGTCTCAGCACTATCACTACTAACGTCTGAGTTCCATCCAGGGAGCTAACCCACATGGCGCACCAGACATCTCCTGTCTCGCCCGCTGCTCTCCTCAGCAGTGTATTTCAGTAGATGTGCCTGCTCTGCTCCCCACTCTGTCTCTGGTGAATCCTCTCACCCCCTGCACCTCTGGCTTACCCTCAGTTTTTCTATGCAAAAACAAAAACCAAAAAAACTTATTATGTTAACATGAAAAAATATTTCAATATCAACTGAATTAACAAATATTTATTTTTAATTTCCAATTAGGTAACTATTAATAAATACAGATCCGCAGAGGAATACAGGTGAGTGTGGTAACATACACCTGAAGAGGTAGGAGCCTGTATTTCTGAATCATATACAGTGTTGTAAAAACAAACATTACCTCAATAAAGAAAAATTTTCTTACATAGGTAAAGCCCTCAGAAACAGTAAGCTCATTCAGGATCTCATTTATGAGATCAACAATTTTGAAAACAGATGTTTTATATCATTAATACTAGCACTTTTTTCTTGCCCTTTTTCACACAGTATCTCATTTTACTACTTCATTATTTTTAATCTTATTTTCTCAAACATAAACATGACACTAGATGCCAGACTGAAAGTCCCAGAAGGAGGAACTGGGTCACTTAGCAAATATTCAATTTTTTTTTTATCGAGTTTACATTGGTTACACATTGGTTTACAGCACTGTATATGATTTAGAAATACAGGATCACACCCTCTAGATATACTGAATGAATACATTAAAGAGCCTCGGTACAAAGTTTTTGGAAATTTATAAATAAATATAATGACAATTTATAAATATGTCCTCGTAACAGATAAGGGAATTTATGTAAGAAAGAAGTTACCTCTGTTAAATGACTTTTTATAAAAGAAACCAAATGTAGGGTATAAGTCAGCAGTAGAAATTTAATTGAAGTCCAGGTGTCTAAGCTTTATTTCAGTCTTCTTTTACTCAATACCCTACCATACGCATCCCACATCATTTAAAGCTCTAAAATAGAGAGAATATAAAAATACCACAAACTATACAGAAAATAATTAAACTATGAAAAATTCTAACAGTGAGTAAGTAAGTGTGCTCAGTTTTGTTATAATCTACGTACTGCTTCATGGTACCATTTCTTACTCATATTTCAGCCCCACTTCTCATTTTTCTTAATTTACAAAAGACTCAAAGCTTTTAGATAAAGGTATAACTTTTTATTATAAAATAATAGATTAACTATAATATTATGATTTCTCCAAAAGAGTTTCAACCAAAACCAAACTGCAGTTTAATGTCAAAGGTCATTTTCTCCTGTTTCAAAATTTCATCATCTGAATTCTATTCAAGTGATGGATGCTGCCAGAGTTTAACTGGTCACTTTTTAGGAATCTTTTATTCAAAAAGCAATCAAGTAACTACTATGTGCCAGACACTGTGTGGATGCTGAACCATGCAGACTTGAAAAGATGTGGTCCTTGATCTAATGAAATGCAGAGATAAATGACAGGAAAAAAGAGAGAGAAAAACTTCACAATGAAATGTATTAATCATAATGTTGTGATACGTCTCTAATACAGAAGCTCAAATATGGGATCCCCTGCCTACAAATAGAGGGGATTTAGTGCTAAAAATCATCCTGGCCCAGTCTTGAAGGATGAGTAAGGAACCACAGCCTTCCCAGCAGATGGACAAGTCTGGAGTGAAAGGAGATTTCTTTTTTTTTAAAGATTTATTTATTTATTTATACATACAAGCACTGGGTACAGTCAGAAGCGCGGGAAGGTGAGAGAATTCACCAGAGCCAGAGCGGGGAGCAGAGCAGGCAGAAGGACCGAAGTACACTGCTGAGGGGAGCAGCGGGCGGCAGGAGAGGTCTGCGCGCCATGTGGGACCCTCCTCCAGTGGCCGGGGAGCAGCCGGGGATCGAACCGGCGCTGCAGAGGCTGCGGGCAGCTTCGCAACCCAGTGCTCAACCACTGCGCCACCGGGGAGGCCCTGAAAGGAGATTTTTGAGGGAAAATATGTAAGAAGGAGACAAGCCAGTTCAAGTTGAAGAGCTTCCTGTGTCCATACGCTGCACAGCCACTGCACAGCACTGAGGACACAACACGAGCAGCTGCATGTTAATTTCTGTGTTTTAGGAGGTCGCCAGAAGACAGTAACAAAAGAGAGATGAAAGAGAAACAGAACTGGAGGCAGGTAGATGGTCTAGAAAAGGGATCAGCAAACTCCTATAATCTGACAGTGAACATAAAGTTGGAAGCCACCCACTCTCTGCCACAACTAATCAGCTCTACCCTGCAGTCATGGTAAACAAAGAAGCATGGCTGTGTCCTAAGAAATCTTCACCCACAAGCACAGAAAACAGGTAGCAGATTTGATCCTTGAGCCGGTTTGTCAACCTCTAGAACACCACTGTCCAAAGGAATTTTTTGCAATAATGGGAATGTTCTATAAATATGCTACCCAATTCAGTAGCCAGTAGTCACATGAGGCTATGTAGCACTTTCATTTGAACATTTGTTGCTTTTCTTTTTTTTAGAGGAACTGAGTTTTAAATTCTATTTAATTTTGTTATTGTGCAACAATGATTTCAATAAAGAAAAATATGCTTCTGAGAAAAATAACTGACTCGGTTCATCTGTGAACAAAGCAATCTGATATTTAATGACATGTGAGTAGTCACATGTGGCTTGTTGGTATTGTACTGGACAGTTAAAGGTTAGAGGCTGGTACAGTAGCCAAGGCAAGAGATAATGAACTAAAGCAGTGACAGTAAAGATGGACAGGACGTGGCACAGGCAAGAAATATTTAGGAGGTGAGGATCTGATGATGGCAGGATCTGATGATGGAGTTACAGGTGAAAGAGAAACAGGCAAAGATGATTCCTGTGTGTTGAACAGGGGTAGTCAAGGGGATGGCTGGGGTACACACTAAACAGGAGAAGAGAGTATAAAAGAACAGAAAGGAAAATATGTTGCATTCTATTTTAGACATGCTGAATTTGATGTGCCACCTGGAAGGAGAAAACACTTGATAATACTATGAGGAAGTAGTTATATTACATATGCTCTTTTTATAGAGAAAGCAACTGTGTTAAATAACTTGTACAAGAGGTCATAGCAGTAAGGGGCAAGGCTGAATTGCAACGTGAATTTATATGATTCTGAAATTCATACATCGTCCATGATACCACGATGAGCAAAGAGATAATAGCTGAAACTTTGAAAGTAGAAGAATTCACCCAGGGAGAAGGAATAGCCATGGGCCCCAGAAGAGGCCTCTGGGGAACCCTAGGATTTATGGAACTATCCCTTCTAAAGAAAACTCAGAGGATAGCAGAGAAATACAAGATCCAGGTGAAGGCAGCATCATGGAAGCAAAGGGAGTGAGACATTAAAGTAGGGGGTGATCAATAGTTTTGAGTCCACAGGAAGATACAGTTAAGACAGGCACCAGAGAGAGGTCATTGGATTTTACAACTGTAACAGTTCCAGCAAAATGACAGAGGAAAATCTTAATTGTAATAAGATAAAGAGTAAAAAAGCCAGGACAAAGTAAAGAAAGCAAACTATAAGTTACACACTTCCAGTACTTACTAGGTTTTAGCTAGTATTGTATACTAGCTATTTAGCATACTGGATATGTACTGTGCCAGGTGCTTTACAAGTATAATCCCATTTAAGCTACACAATAAACTATAACATCTACAGGTATCATGATGCCTGTTTTATGGGTAAGAAAATTGAAGCTGAGAGAAGTTAAATAACCTTCCATTCACAAACAATGGTAAGTGGAAGATCCTGGCTCTGAACCCAAGTCTTCTGACTTCAAAGAACATTCTTTTCCTCCACATATTCACATTATGATGGCAGAGGTTTAAATGGCCAAGCCCCAAGAACTTGAAGAAATAACATTATAACATATAAAATATTGGTGAACAAAATAAGCAGGACATAAGTATTTGGGAGAGAAAAAGCAAATCAGCTGATCTATAATCCATTCTCTTCTGCATCAGCACCAACTTCCCTTTGGCAAGAGAAAAGACAGATGATCAGGCTAACTGCTTGATAAACAAACATACTAATGACAGACCTCCTGATAAATAGACTAATTAGTTGTATTCAAAACAGGAGTCTTCATCAATAGAATGCTTTTATATATACTTAGTGTAGGACTGCTTAGGGTGTATGAACCTAGAATGGACAGATTTATGAGGGCTGAACTGCGGAATGTGACATAAGCTATGTAGCAATCTGCATATTAAATCAAAAGAGCTCCTTCTGTATCAGTGATAAGAACTACACTCACCTTAGAAATATGCTTAGAGACTACATAAGTGACAGTGTTTCAGAGGGTACCCAGAGCAAAGAAGGACCTAGGGAGCCATGCTGATGGCCCTTAAAACTCCCTGCTCTGCCAGTGCCTTGTGATTACCTGTGCCTTTGAGATCATCAGTGAGGCCTGATACAGGGTCAGCTCTAACTGGCTAGTCTAATCTGACACACCAAGTCTCTGAGATATCCCTATACTAAGTCACATAAGGCTACATGTAATTATGGGAACTTCCTCTGGGTTTGGCATTTTGACCTAAGACTTGAAGGATAGATGTATTTTTCAAAGACAAAGGGGAAACGGAGGATAGGAATAAAGGAAGAGAAGAGAGACTGTCCCATAGATGCATGAGATAGTAAGTCAGTACAAGACTGACTCTAATGAGTAGTAAGAACTAAGATTGGAGACATATGGAGCACATTAGAGAGAACTTCAAAAGTCAGAGAGGCGTCTAAACAGGATAGTTTTCAGTAAGAAAGCAAAGCACTGAAAGTGGAACACCAGGAGGATTACTCTGGTACTGCAGTGAGGAAGACTGAAGAGAGGATCTGGAATTAGGGAAGTCTATGAGAAAGTTATTGCAGTACTCAAACCACAGAGATCCTGCAGGCCATAAGCTAGGGCTATGGGTCTGGAATGAGAGGAAAAGCTAAGCATTACATAGGAAAAAAATCTGAAAACTTTGTTAAATAACAAAATAAAGGATAACAGTAATAAATCAATTGTCAAAGATGAGCAACTACCTTTCTCCAGAAGGTGGAGTTTAACTTATTCTTTCCTTTTGAGAGAGGCTATACTTCCTACCAGGCTTTGGAGAGTAAGGAGAAGGAAAACTTAACAGTGGAGAAACCTGGCAAACACCACCTCAACTCATGTATCAGACACCCACAGAGATGCTGTGACAAGACAGGCCCTTCATCTCCATAGGACTCCTGTCAAAACCCAAAGGAGGGGTAGGGATGATTAATAAATATTAACTAAGCCAGCTATGGAAGGTTCCAGGAATCTAAGGTGGGGTCAGAAAAGATTCTCAGCCAGAGGTGGGGCAGAGAAGATTATTGATCTTAGAAGACCAACCAACCCAATCCCTTGCCCTGGCAAAATGTACCATGTCTATGCAGGCATCTTTCCTTGTTCTCTTTTCCTTAATAAACTTGCCATGTCCTGATGAATGGGAACGTCTGCTGAATTCTTTTTCAGAAGGATCCAAGAACCCCATGCACTGAATATCATCTGAACTCCATCACTAGCACTACCACTTTCTACCTAGGGAATCTTGGCTAAGTTTCTCTCACCTACCAAAGACCTGGTTTCCTCACTTGTACAAAGTGATAAGAATTCATATCACATATTCTCATTTTTATATCTTGGAAAAAGATCCTAAAGTTTCCCCAAACTGAAAATTAACAGCACAACTTTGAAGTAATTAATGATACCAGTAACTTACCGCTGATTCACAAAAGGGCTGGACAGCTCTGCGAGCAGGCGAAAATTCCCAACATAGGCCAGTGCTCCATGACTCTGGATGATAAATAGAAAACAAAATGTCAGGGATAACATTCTTATCAGAATTTCCATTTGCTGAGGAAACATTTGAGAGCTTCTCAGCATCAAACATCAAAACAAACCAAGTCTGAAAACTGATTTTCTTCTTCATGAGAACATAGAAATGTCCTTAAAATTCTACAGCACTTTTGAAAGTCAGCATATTGTAAAATTATGTTCACTTAGGAAAACAGTTTTCAAGCAGCTGTCTCACGTTGAACTCATGAATTCTGCAAATGGCCATTACTAATGGCATTCTCAAAGGACAACAGAATGATCAAAATAGTGTATTTTAGAAGTTGAGGCATTTTGGAGCAACTAAGAGGCAACTAAGTTAAGAGAAACTTGTTTTTTATATTCATTAATAGAAGCACTTTTAAAAAAAATCTCAGGGTCTCCCCGGTGACGCAGCGATTGAGCTCTGGGTTGTGAAGTTGCCTGCAGCCTTTGCAGCGCCGGTTCGATCCCCGGCCACCGGGCGAGGGTCCCACATGGCGCACAGACCTCTCCTGCCACCCGCTGCTCCCCTCAGCAGTGTACTTCATCACTCTGCCTGGTCTGTTCCCCGCTTTGGCTCTGGTGAATTCTCTCACCCTCCCGCACTTCTGACTATACCCAGTGCTTGTATGAATAAATAAATCAATCTTTAAAAAATAAAAAAAAATCTCAGAAATATACTTAACATCCTAAATAACAATATACAAGTCTGTGGGCAGATAAGTATTTGTCAGCTAAAACAACACTGAATTATCATATTTGATGTGAAAAAGGTATTTGTCAATCAGAAGATCCTACATATAAAATACACACTTCTGGCACCTTTTTGAATTTAGAAACATAATGCCTAGGACTATTCTCCAATTTAATAATAGGAAAAGTATAGCAGAGTTAGTAAGCATTCGAAGGAAAACTTATGAAAGCATTCATTCTAAGGATTTTATTATTTAATGTACTTTAAAATTGTTACTAGGTGAAGAGACACTCCAGCACAGTTTAACCAGAATTATGATTACACATTAAAGGAAATTGTCCTATCCACCTGCCAAAATGTTAGACATATGTGGAAATTCAGAAGCTTTTTCCTGCTAGTTACACACCACACATGCTGCCTTCTAAATGCAAATAATATAAAGCAATTAAAAAAATAACGAATGAACTTTTTATTTGAGGGCTTTCAATAGTTCTCCATGTAAATTACAAATTAAAAATGCAGATGTATAGTATAAGAATTAGTTTTCTCAAGGTTGACCTAAAATTTTTAACCTAAACTCACTATCATGTTACCTGTATTATTTACTGCTGTTACAATAAATGCTTTTATTTAAATAAAACAATAGTAATCATTAACAATAGCAATTAGGAGTAATTAACAGTACTAATTAAACAAAAGTTGTGAATATAATAATTTTATGTTTCTTTCAGTCCTTTAGTTCTGTTGACTATGTAAATTCAATAGGCTATATTACTGTATGTTTTTAAGACATGTAAGTATAAGACTTTTTGACAGAATATATTAAAAAAAGGAAAATGTAATACAATAGAACTAAATAGTTATTACCTGCATTAATAAAAGATAATAATGACACCTTTCCATCCATGACACAGCAGGATACTTTTATTCTGTTTTCTTCTCCAATAATACTTATCTGAACTGCCCTTAGCCTTTACGAAATCCTTTTTTTTTTTACATCTTCCCTAATTTCTTTCACCTTTTCCAAAGGAGAATGGTTAGTTAACTCATTTTTAGCCCACTGGGTCTCAAAGTGTGGTCCTCGACCAAAGGCAGCAGCACCACAGGGGAACTTGCTAGATATGCATATTCTAATCAGAAACCCTGGTGGTGGGACCAGCAGTCTTTTAACCAGGCTGTCCAGGTATTACGAACTTACATTAAAGTTAGAGAACCACTGTCCTAGTTCCCTTCTCTGAAATTGCAACTAGGGAAAATCTGCACTCACCTCCATTAGATTCTACATCATGATCAAAGCAGATCTGCTACGTCATCTAGCAGGTTTTCCCTAACCCTTAACAAGCACCAGCGGGGTCAAGTGCCTTCCAGATCTTGCTTGTGCAAATACCTGCATTTTCTGTGCCTCATTTACTGTCCTCCCCATAACTCAGTCCCTCCTCATGTGTTCTAAGTTGAACCTTGCCTGCTTACTGGAATCACCTCCAAAATCAAAATCGTAAGAGTCCTTCAGGCCTATTTCTGAGTGGCTGAGAACACTTTGACTGGATATTAGTATTCTATTATAAAAGGAGAAAAAAATGCAGATTTCAATTTTGTAAACAGATTTTTAATACAGAATTAGAGATTGTTAAAAACATGTTATGAGAAAAAATATCGGATGTTCAATGTTCAAACCTTGATGCATGAGATTAGACAAGCAACACGGGTAAAGGGTGGCAGATAACTGAAAGAGGTAGGGGAACGTGAGACCCACCTAACAGCTATGGATCAGAAGAAAAACAGTTATCAACAAGCAGGCCAGCACACTAGGGACCTCTCATTAGTTGCATGATCTTCTGGTTATGACTGAACCCCTCTAACCCCATTTCCAGATCTCTGTAACTATAAATACTTAGGAGCATATGGCTACCATTACCACCATCACCATCTCCTTTATTGAACAATGGAAAGAGAGAGTTAAAATTAACTGGTAAAAGGAAGTTCCTAAGAATGCTATTTGGTTTTACTACTATATTCCAGTGTTGATAGTAGAATTTCCAAAAATATTTATTGACTGACCACTAAAAATTTTACAGAATCTTCTTCTCTTTGGGCAGTTTGATGACTGAGCAATTAAGTAAGGAGAAGTAGGGACAGCTCATGAATGATCATGGGCCTATGGGATGGAGGCCAGAATTTGAATCCTGGGTGACTTTGGGCAAAACGGACCTAAACTTTGGTTTTTCCATTTGTAAAATGGACATAATACTGTGTGTGTATGACAGAATTGATGTAAGAAAAATATCAGATGCATACTAATATAAAAAATACTGAAACTGAAAAGGTATCCTAAAAATTGAAAAAAAATTTTTTGTAAAAACTGAACTAGGTAATTTTTTAAATAGAATTATAAATATGAGTAAGTAAGTATAAGAACAAGTCCTAAAATTAGGACCTATTCCTACCTGGCCTAGGTAGTTACCTTTTCACCTTGAGTAAAGGCTTTACCTGACACCTGGCTGTTTTCTTAGGACTATAGGGTCAAGCCTGAAATGACAAGAAATGGATGAGAAGAAACAGATCACCATCACAGCTAACCAGGAAGGAATGTAGGCTTGCTACTGCAATTTTACCATAGAACATAAATCATGTCAACAAACCATGCCTTATCAATTAGTCAATATTACTTTATAATTACTGCAGGGGAAAAAAGGGTGAAAAGAAATATAAATACTTCTAAGGGAAAACTGAACTGTTTTATTTACCTAATAAATGATACCAACTCTGTACCTCACTTTGCAAAACTATACTCTACCCAATCGAAACTTAACTCTGCTTGTGACCATCTTATGCTTATTAAATTCACAGCATGACATGGTTGAAATGTCCACTGAAGCTGTCTGGTTCTATTACCCACAGATTTTTACATCCCATCTAGAAGAGCCCTTCCAATTTGCTCCTCAGCCTGAGCAACTGTATTGTGAGGGATGTAACATCTTGAAAAATAGCTTACTCCTTCTTGGGATTGCTATTCAGTAAGTTCTAAAACTAAACTGCACCCTTGCTGTCTTATAATTGCCCCCTTTACTTCTGGTCTTGGTGATCCAAACCTCCTTTTCATATGATAAACCTTCAAATAGTTAAAGACAGCACACATCTATCTTCTTACCAGATATAATTTCCAATTTCCTCAGAAAAGTCTGGCCTACCTTCCTTAGAGTACCTGAGTCCTATAAACTGCCAGTATTCATAAAATAAAAGAAAACAGATCAGCAACTAAAACCATCCAATCTTGATGAAAAGAACCATTTTGACACAATAATCCCTACATGTTAACCAGCTAAATCACTCACACACTCACATACACACACACACTGACACACACACACACACAAACACACACACCCCTTTTTTGAGGGCTCAAGAAAATCTCAATTCTACAAATTGCCAAGAAATCTCAATTCTCAATTGCCCAGAAATCTCAATTCTACAAAACTATTCTTTAAAAAGAATTATGTGTACAAAAATGGAGAAATAAGGATGCTTGCCCTGAGTTATGTAGAATAGTGAAACTGCACATATTGGAACAAGAGAATTAGCTAAATATTAATATCCTCAGCCACAATAGAGATAAGAGTGGCAACAAACAGATGGTTTAAGAATAAAAACATTTTGAGAACTTGCGATATGCCTAGAGTTTACTTCCTTCACACTTAGGAAATTATCTGAGGATATGCTGCAGCAGGATGAGTGCGTAAAACAAGAAAGAATGAATGAGTTCCAGGAAATAGTGGCTCCAAATGCAACTGCAGCAATGGCAAGAAGCCCCTGGGCATCTGGGCAGACTAGATCAGGGGTGCAGAGCTCCAAAGGCAGGTATCTGGGATATGATGACTGCAGAGAAGTGATGCTATCCTTGAGAATATGAAACAACTCAAACAGACGATAAATACAAATGCTGCTAGCAAAAAAGGAGGCAATTGGAAATGTGAAGCAAAAATTAGATAGGAAATGTAATTCTGATCACACAGGGAACTATTTTCATATAATCATAATTAACACTTGATTGATTTTCTGTGTAGGATTAACTGAAGAGAAAGGATAACTTAATCTGAGTGTAAAATAGAACACTCAGTGTAAATATTTTAAAATCTTGGCAATGTAAAAGTACAAGTACAAATGACATCTGAGAAGCAAAGTAGAAGTTAAAGAAGCAGAGAAGGATAAGAGCGCTGAAACCACCTTAAAAGTACCAAGAGGCTCTACACAACCAGAAATAAAAGCATATAAAGTTTTCAAAGGAACT